CTTTCCTAACATTGAAATATTTTCTTATATAAGAAGAAAATATTTTTATATGTAAGTGATGGTATCTCGTGTTTATGGTAATTGGATTTATTTTCTGCGAAAAAGAAGCCATTTTTTATGTGCTATAAATTGTGAAGAAATATATAAAGTCTGCGATATTATCACGTAGCTGTTAACCATTATTTTCACAAATATTATATTATTTTTATTTTCTTTTTTATACAAAAAATTAAGGATTAAACGGATAGAAAGATATTCGTAACTTGATATATGTTGTCGAGATGTTTCGAGTTTCGAGATGTTCCTTGTCTTAATGTTTGGTGGTTCTGAAAAGAACCGATTGTTTTGCTTGGTCCTGGAGCGAATTTTAATAATTCGTTCAGTAATCACTTCTTTCGATAATATGATCTATCGTGCACTAACATATAGCGTTTTCGATTTTCGATTTGTTGACTCGACCCGACTCGGATCAGATTAAAAGATCGGAAAAATGATAATGAAATATTAAAATCTGCCACGATAATGCTAAGAATCTTTGATCGATGTTAAGGAACGCTTTCTGTTATGATAGTTTAGAGTCATCAAGTTTCAAACCGAACTTTTGATCTGACCGAATCCGGTCGAATCAACAAACAAAAGACGCTAATACGTGGCGATCGTCTTTTGTCTAATGACGTTAAACAAAAGCTCTGCGCATAGTTGCCTCAATCAGCATATTGTCTCGCGACTCGGTGCAGTAATGTTGAGCGAAATCCAGCGCGGCCGTATTATCGGTTTGTGGGAAGGAGACGTAAGTCTCGAAGAGATTTGCACCATAATTCCCTGTTCGGATAAGACGGCAAGAAAGTGGATTCGTGCGTGGCAAGAAGGTGGTGAAGAAGCTCTGCGTGATCATCGTAAGCATAATCACAGACCACGGAAAACAACTGTGGAAGAAAATAATGCTTTAGTCAACCAGGTAGATTTACAGCCTTTTTTTCCGGTATCAAATGCCATTAACGACTTGGAGTTACCGATTTCTCGATGGACAGCACGACGACGTTTACATGAAGCCCATGTTCACTGTCGTCGTGCTGCACGAAAAATCGCGCTTACGCAAAGACATCGCGAAAATCGCGTTGCTTTTGCGCGTCAAGAGCTAATGACATCTGCGGAAGAATGGGATGTCACTATCCGGACGGACGAAAAAGTCTTTTGTTCTGCAGTTGATCGGCGTGATCGTGTTTGGCGACCCGATAATCGCAGGTTTGATCCGAGGTATGTCATTCCTCAAGAGCGAAGTGGGCGCATCACTTGTGCAATGTGGGGATGGATGAGTGCGTATGGTCCTGGTGAACTAATTGAAATATCGCCACATATGAATAGTGAGGAATATATCGATATTTTGGGAAACGTTCTGCTTCCGAGCGTCCGAAATATATTCCCGGCAAAAGATGTACCGAGATTTCGATTAGTTCAGGACAATTCTGCAGTTCATACTTCCCGCATTGTGCGAAGACGGTTCGAACAACATCCAGAGATTGTGGTTCTTGATTGGCCAGCTAAATCCCCGGATCTCAATTTGATTGAGAATGTGTGGGCGAAAATTGTGAATACGTGGGATCCTGGCCATGAAAGAACCAAACAAGCTCTGTTTGAGCACGCGAGGAATGAATGGGAAGCACTTCGAGGCAAACCTGAGTTCTTCACCAATCTTCGTCAGTCCATCGATCGACGACTGCATTAGGTGATCGGGAGAAATGGTTACTGGACGGATTATTAAAATTCGCTCCAGGGCCAAGCAAAACAATCGGTTCTTTTCAGAACCACCAAATATTAAGACAAGGAACACCTCAGCAACATCCAATCGGTTTTTTTTAGAACCACCAAATCGGTTCTTTTCAGAACCACCAAACATTAAGACAAGGAACATCTCGAAACTCGAAACATCTCGACAACATATATCAAGTTACGAATATCTTTCTATCCGTTTAATCCTTAATTTTTTGTATAAAAAAAAAAATAAAAATAATATAATATTTGCGAAAATAATGGTTAACAGCTACGTGATAATATCGCAGACTTTATATATTTTTTTACAATTTATAGCACATAAAAAATGGCTTCCTTTTCGCAGAAAATAAATCCAATTACTATAAACACGAAATACCATCACTTACATATAAAAATATTTTCTTTCTATATAAGAAAATATTTCAATGTTAGGAAAGACATTTTGTAAAAAGCAAAAATAGATAAAAATCGCATTATAAACTTAATGTTCAAATTCGAAGAATCTAGGAATTCAAAAAATATTACAAAATAGATTTTGTATCCGATTAATCCTTAATTTAAATAATTTAATTTTAATATAAAAAAATAAGACGTGTTATTGCTCGTCGAAAGCAAAAGCTAAGTAATGTTACAGCCGATATTTCGAGCAATGTTAATTAATTACGGTATTAAAATAAGAAGCTATATATACATTTTGAATTGTAATTATCGAGCCAACGTTTCGACTTACTTGGTCTTCCTCAGGGCATTACATTCAAACTTACAAGTAATATAAATAAAAATAATAATAACTGTTAGAGTTTGCTTTATCAACACTGAAAATTATAGTCATCGCCGATGAACGATTACGACACGCAAAAGACATAAGGTCAAAGCCAACATCGAATTAAACGCCGTCACAGGCCACATAATTACAATAATTGTTACTTATTGCAATAAATCCTGATCTGAGTTGCAGTTGACGGAGATGCTAATTTCGTATATTTTTTGTTAATTTCGTATGTTTTTCTGTATATTTTAAAAGGTTCTTGACGCAACACCGATCTCTACTTCCATTTAATATCGGACATGACAATTTCCGACGTTGAGCATGGCTGATACCAGGATCATACAGAGGATTGCCCCTTTTAAAATATACGGAAAATGCACGAAATTAGCATCTCCGTCAGCTGCAACTCAGATCAGGATTTATTGTAATCGGTAACAATTATTGTAATTATGTGGCCTGTGCCGGCGTTTAATTCGAAGTTGGCTTTGACCTTATTTCTTTTGCGTGTCGTAATTGTTCCATCGGCGATGACTATAATTTTCAGTGTTGATAATGTGAACTTCAACAGTTATTATTATTTTTATTTATATCACTTGTAAGTTTGAATGTAATGCCCTGAGAAAGACTAAGTAGGTCGAAACGTTGACTCGATAATTATAATTCAAAATGTATTATAGCTTTTTATTAATACCCTAATATTGCTCGGAATATCGGCCGTAACATTACTTAGCTTTTAATTTTAATATTTCATTTACTTATAAATAAGATACGGAAGATAATGCGACATCGTAAAAATTATAAAATATCGCGAAACAATTTTTCATATAATTACATATGCATTACGTATACAATAGAATAATTATAGGTAATAATGTTGTAATTATAATTATCATATTATCTGTAATTATATTATTCCAGTAAACACATACTTAGTCGGTGGAATAATAGTTGCAGATGCATAATAATACAATTATAATTACATATTCACCTATGATTGTTATATTGTATGTAATACGTATTAATTGTGTGCATCAAATTGTATTAAAAAATTTTTTTTAATCAAATGCACGCGCGAGCAATACAGCGTGACTGACCATTTTTACGCGTTCGCGGTTCTGTATTTGAACCTTTTATCGACCGTGACGGTAACGTAGCGCGCTCGCCTGCACCGCTCTGCACCGTAGCTCACCGGGTAACGGAACTCATTAATGCTCCTCACTGTACAAACGATTCCGAAACAGCACCCGTTTGCGGATTTAAAATATATCTAAGAACGGCAAAGATAACTCTTACCCTAAAATCTGATTTTTATTGCATATTTTTATGCGACTCATCTTATTTTGAAAATTCCCGTACAATCACCCCTTTAAAACTACAAACGAAACTACCGGCGATACAAACACGTACAAACGATTCCGAAACAGCACCCGTTTGCAGATTTAAAATATCTCCAAGAACGGCGAAGATAACTTTACCGTAAACTTTACCGTAAAATATCATTTTTATTGCATATTTTCATGCGACTCATCTTATTTTGAAAATTCCCGTACAATCACCCCTTTAAAACTACAAACGAAACTAGCGGCGATACAAACACGTACAAACGATTCTGAAACAGCACCCGTTTGCGGATTTAAAATATCTCTAAGAACGGCAAAGACAACTCTTACCCTAAAATCTGATTTTTATTGCATATTTTTATGCAACTCATCTCATTTTGAAAATTCCCGTACAATCACTTCTTTAAAACTACAAACGAAACTACCGGCGATACAAACACGTACAAACGATTCCGAAACAGCACCCGTTTGCGGATTTAAAATATCTCTAAGAACGGCGAAGATAACTCTTACTGTAAAATCTGTATATTCATATAAATATCTCGTTATTTTATTGCAAAGTGTTATTAAAAATGTGCAAATTAATATGAAAATTATCAACTTTAAAATATTTCTATATAAAAATGTATTCTGTCCCGCGACAAAGTATTCACTGGATCTCACGTCATTCGGTACCCCGTTATAAAAAATTAATTATCACTCACCGACCAGATGCGCAACGGGCGGAGTTAGTCAGGCACGTAGCTCCGATGATTCTGTAACACAAAAACGAAAGATTCAAATTAAAGAGCCGCTCAAAATGACCAATGTTTCAAAAAATAATTTTTACACGCGTCTAATTCGTCTTTTAATTAGATTTACTAATGTAATTATTTATTTTCTGGGAAAAATCTTTACGAGAATAAACTTTTATAATATTTTAGATGGTTTTACTTTCTCAAATTATTTCTTACTTATCCGAGATAAATCGGCCCGAATAAATGGAAAAGAACTATTAATTTTAAGATAACAAATAAAATACTTACCCCAATGTTGCTCCGCCGGGGCCCGATGCCTCCGCCAGGCCTCCTTCTCCTCCTCTCAGAATGGGGTTGTCAGGCCTCATCCTCCTTCTGTTGCACAGGACACTCACGGAACCGCTGTTCAATATTTCGCGATCGAGTACGAAGTAACTGTAATACGACGATCGCGACACTTTCGTACAGATACTCCTGGGGGCTTATTACGGTTCTCGGATTGGGTGAAAGTGACGAAAGTGAGTAGTTCACCCAAGTACCGTTGATCTCACCTAATAAAAATACGAAATTATTCGCGTGAGCGGGCTCGACACGAAATTTCTAGGTGAAAAGGTGAAATATATGTTCTGTGGGTGAAATCAAACAAGAGTGACGAGGAAAAAAGACTGTTCGTTACAAGTTACAATGGATAATTTAATAATCGCGTTATTTATGCAACAACATCGAGATAATACAATGCTGAGAATACGAAGGAGATTACGGGACGCCTCAGATCCATTTAGTATTCCGGAAAGTGAATTCCGTAGTCTTTACAGGTAAATGCAATTTTTCATACTTTTGGAGGTTACATTTTTTTAAAACTCACGTTTACAGTGAAAATTGAAAATACAGTCAAATAAAATGAGCACATAGTAAACTTCTTTATAATTTTTCAGATTATCCAGGGAAGCTGTGCGAGTGCTGATAGAAGATGTACGACCTCTACTACCATTCACAAAACGACGTCATGCAGTTCCTATTGAATTACAGGTATTGAAGTTATCATTACAAAGTAATATAATGATTTATTTTTTCTTATTGAAAACTTATTTATTGTGGCAATAATTTTTTGTTACAGGTTCTAATTGCGTTGAATTTTATAGCTTCTGGTTCATATCAAAAGCGAGTTGGTCAAGATTATTTATCGTGTGTAAGTCAACCAACAGTTAGCAAGATTCTACGCAATATAGTCAATGCTTTGAATATTTTAATGAATGACTGGATTCAATTTCCAATCGAAGATGCAGAAATTCAGCATATTAAAGAAACGTAAGTTTAATACATTTATTCTATAATAGAGTAACAATGAATCTCTCTCTCTCACAACCATAATAAGAGCCCAGGGAGCCTTAATTGTACAGTGAATACATTTTATTTTAATGTTGCAGTTTTTGGGCACGTAAACAATTTCCTGGTGTTATTGGAGCAATAGATGGAACCCATATAGCGATTGTTCCACCAAATGCAGAGAGGGAGCACCTCTATATTAACCGAAAATTATATCATTCGTTGAATGTTCTTATTGTATGTATAACATTACCTCTATAATGTACAAAAATTATTATATACAATAGAGTAAATTATAAAATAAGTAAGAAAATTGTAATTATGTATTAATTTATACTACACGATTAATTCTATAAAGTAATTAAATATATTTATAAATTTATAGGTATCGGATTACGAGGGTAAAATTTTGACCCTAAATGCTGCACATGGTGGAAGAACACACGATGCTAGAGTTTGGAGAGCATCTCGTATATCTAATCATCTGCAAGAGATGTACGCTGCAGGACGAAGAGATGCTTGGCTTTTAGGTGACAGGACATTTAGATGACAGTGTGGTTTTTCTTGTTCCAGTCTCGGCAACAATACTTTTCTATGTATAATAAACTGTATATATCTTTTGTTTGCAGGTGATAGTGCTTATCCGTTGTTCCCATATTTGATGACACCTAAGCTGAATGAACCTGAAGATACACCATCAGCAAGATACACGCAGTGTCATGTCCGAGCTCGTTCTTGTGTGGAACGATGCATAGGTGTCTTAAAGGGGAGGTGGCGATGCCTCAGAAAGGAGAGAGCTCTCCATTATACACC